AGTCCAGCTCTGAGTCAAGGGAGGAAATGCACAGGAGCTGGAGGCCTGGGGCTGGGGACTCCTGGGGCCATCCTGCAGGCCAGCCAGGTTCCCGCCGTTCCCTCCTGGCCATGGAGCTTCTGCCCCGAGCATGAAGCCTGCTCTGGGCTCGGCTCCAGGACGGGTGCCTGCAGAGCTACCCAGGCACCCCTCCCACAGGCTCTCGGGCCTTTGGCTCCTGCCCTCCTAGGTTGGCGCCATAGGGCTGCCCGGGCAAGAAGCAGGGCTGGAGCCAGTGTGGTGGCCAGCACCCGTAGTCCTAGCTCCTGTGGAGGCTGAGACAGGAGGATCGTGAGATGGAGGCCAGCCTGGGCAACACAGCAAGATCTTAACCAAAAAAAGGAAAAAAGAAGAGAAGATGGGTTTGGCTGCAGGTTCTGACCTTGAATGCCCTTGGCCCTGCTCCTCTCTGCTCTCCTCCATGGGGCCAGGTGGAGCTAGGCTGGGGCTCACTCCAGGCCCCCTCGCTGCAGGAGATGGGGGCAGACAGCCGAGCGAGCACCAACCAGCCCACACCAGGTGCGCCCGGCTCCATGGGGAGATTCCCTTCTGGGGTCTGCAGACAAGGTCAGCCCTGGAGGTGGCCCAGCAAGGACGAGACACCCATGGGGACTCAATCACTTCAAAGCCTTCTAAACAGCCCCAAGGCTCCCAGAGCTTAGCTCCCACTTCCCACCGCACACTCAGCCCACTGTGCTGGGTTCTGGGGACCCAGGGACCCACCATGGCCTCCACACCTGGGCCTGAAGCCATGGGCACCAGCCACCAGAGGGAGTGCAGAGCCAGGACATACCACAAGGGGGTGCTCTGCGCCTGCCCAGCAGTGGGGGACAGACCTCAAGAAGCCAGGGCACGGGGAGGAGCCTGGTTGGACCAGAGGGACCCAGGAAGATGGACCAGAGGGACCCAGGAAGATGGACCAGAGGGACCCAGGAAGATGGACCAGAGGGACCCAGGAAGATGGACCAGAGCGCAGAGGCTGAGAAGCAGAGGGAGCCAGGGCTGGGGGAAGAAGTGGGGGGTGGGGAGACAGAGAGGCTGGGCGAGGCCGAGACTGGAATCCAGGGGGTGACCCAGCCAGCTGACCACCTCAGGCTTCTGTGCAGAACAGTGGGTTCCAGGTTGCTGAGACGGATGAGGGGGAAAGTGGGATGTCCAGGTCCGGCGTCCTGCCTCATTTCTCAGGAGACAGGCTCTGACTGGCTCAAGGTCATCTCCTGGCCCTTCCCAATGCAGGTCAGGGGTGGCAGGGCCTGTTCTGGAGGCAGAAGACCAGCGGGCGTCCAGCCAGCCGCTCAGAACCATTATTTGTGCTTCCCTCCCTGGGTGGGGTGAACTCTGGGATGGCGCCTTGGCTGCTCCTTGGCAGGGGCTCAGCCACAGGTCAGAATCCCTGGGGAGGCCAGGCACGGTGGCCCACGCCTGTCATCCCAGGGGCTCGGAGGCCAAGGCAGGAGGATGGCGAAGTTCAAAGCCAGCCTCGGCAATAGCGAGGCGCTAAGCAACTCAGTGAGACCCTATCTCTAAGTAGAATACAAAACAGGGCTGGGGACGTGGCTCAGTGGTCAAGAGACCCTGTGCTGGAACCAACCAGAGACCAGATCTGCCGGCCTTGGTTTCAACACAGTGTTTAAAGCTCAGAAACAGGAAGCCGAGGCCACAGCAGGAGGGCGTCGTCTGGATCTTTTGCTGTTACATGGCCTTATGTGGCCACATCTCAACAAAGGGCTGTGTAGGGAGAGCAGCAGGCCTGGACATGCGGCATAGGGACGGTCTAGAAAGCAGGGTTGTCCTGTTAGGGACACAGCGAGGGGAGGGCAGCGCAGAACGGGACGGAAAGATGGAGGAGCCCTACAGCGGTTGGTGGAGGGACATCACGTCTTAGACGGTCCCCAGGACTCCACCGACTACAGGGGACGCAGCCAGCAGCTGTCCAGGGGCATCTCCGCCCACGGGAAGCCGTGCCGGGAGCTCCCCCGTGTCCTGTGCACCTCCTGGTCACCATGGGGCCTGGCGTGGAGGCAGGGGCTGGCAGTCTCCAGCCAGCCGTCGGGACAGCCAGGGCTGCAGTCAGGGGGGGCCGGAGCGCTGTGGACCCCAAAGGCAGATGTCAAAACTTCAGGGACAGACGAGGGGCCCAGCAGTTGCCCTCTTGGTGCACCAGAGTGGGAAACAGGTCACACGAAACCTGTGTGACCCAATGGGCAGGGTGGGGGGGTGGCTGAGTGGCAGGTCCCTTGCCAGGCAGGCACAAGGCCCTGGGTGCCATCCCTGACACTGGGAAAAAATGCCCAAAACAGGTGCTGAGCGCTCAACCACTGTGACACAGACAGGGGTGCATGGCACTGTCCATGTCACCACAGCTGGGGGGGACCCAACTCTCCACTAAGAGACAAACGACAGAGGAGCTCCCAGATGTCCTGTCACCAGATGGTCTGGTGCCAGCGCGTGGCAGGGGTGAGCACCCAGGGCTCATGGGCACACTGTGCCCGAGGCACCCCAGGGCACTGCTGTGCACACCGTTCCCATGGCCGCTCCCAGGGCAGGAGGCCTGGTCAGAGGCCAGCCACCCAGCGTGTGGGCTCCCAAGACGGGCGGCCGCCCACCCCTGGGCAGGCGCTCGGGAGCACGCGGGGCATCCATCGACTTCACCTTGGGGGTCCTCCCACTGGGTTGAGGTCTGGCTGCTGCAGCTCTAGAACTAGCTTGTAACCATCAACCTCACCTTGTCCAGTTGTCACCAAAGGGGACACAATGAGGGCCCTTCGAAGATGGGCGAGGTTCCAGGTGAGCTCTGCTGGATTCCTGGCATTGGCTGCCATACTCTCTACCAGAGCCCCAGCAGGACCCTCGATGGTCACCAGGAGTGTCCCCCACCAGGGACACCTGGACTGTGCCTTACCAGCAGGATGCCCAAGGCCTGGTCAGAGGCGACCAAGGGTCTGGGCTCACCCTTTTAAACCTGACTACTGAGCCAGGTGCCATGGCGCACCCCATAATCCCAGCAACTCAGGAGGCTAAGGCAGGAGGATGCCGAATTCAAGGCCAGCCTCTGCAACTTAGTAAGGCCCTGTCTCAAGATTACAAAAATAAAATAAAAAGGGCTGTGGATGTGCTGGTGGTGAAGCAGCCCAGGGTCAGTCTCCCGGCCAAAAACATGACCCCAACCAGACAGCTGAGCGGGCACGTTGGTGCGCCCGGACCAAGAGGGGTGTGGCCAGGGAGCTCCAGTGCTGTCCCCAGCAGAGTCCACTTGGCCGCTGCTGATCCCGTTAAGCCAGCTTGTAAGGAGTCTGGAATCTTTGTGCAAGGGCGGGACTGGGGACTGAACCCAGGGACACTTTGCCACTGAGCTACACCCAGCCCTTTTTAAGCACCCCTGCCAGCCCCTGAGCAGCAGGGCCCAGACTGGAGTTCCTTCATGGGTGCAGCACAGTCACCGAGGGGGCTGGGAAACGCACCTCGAGAGGAGGGGGCAACGTGGGGTCCTGGGCAGGGCATGCTCCTGGCACAGAGGGCCGCCTCAGGGCCTTGCCAGTGCTGGGTGGTCCCCCAAGGCCATCCGAAAGGGCCTGTCACATGGGGCTGCGGGGGGGAAGCTGGGACCTGGGGACGGGTTCAACCCCAGGACCCAAAGCAGAACACACACAGCCAGCGACACTCCAGACACAAGAGGAGGCTGCCCCTGGCCCCTGCGGGAGGGGCTCTGTGAGCTGATTTCAGTGTCGCCCAGGAACCCCGTGGAGCAGGGCCAGCACAGCACTGGCCTGAGGGGGAGACCAGACGCCCAGGAGCCATTCTGCCCAGGAGGGATGACAGTGGCCCTGAGCAGCTGAAGCAGGACACACTGCAGCCCCCATTCCAGCTCCCCCCTGGCTGCTGGCCACAAAGGAAGGACAGTCTGGCCCTAGAGTGGCCAGAGGGCACAGGGCCGGCACGTGGCTGGGTCCCCCAGGTGTCCTTCCCTTGCTCACTGACCTCCGGGTCCCCCAGGTGTCCTTCCCTTGCTCACTGACCTCCGGGTCCCCCAGTATCCTTCCCTTGCTCACTGACAGGAGGTTGTAGCAGGAACAAAGGAGATCACAGCAACCGCCCAGGGGCATGGCGGAGGGTGCCTCCAGTGTGGGAGGGGCTGGGAGGGAGGGCAACGCCAGAGCCGGGCAGACGACGGCGGGTCAGGGCCTGGCTCGTGGCAGAGGAGCCCCAACCCACCAGGGCAGGGCTGCCCGCAGAGACCCTGACACCTTGGGCTCAGGAGACCCGGGGGGCCACCGCACACCGGGGCTGCAGCCGAGGTCACGCTCAGGAGCCTTCCTGACTCTAGCGCTCACCTGGCCACCCTTGGGACCCTCCAGGCCCTGCCCTCCAGATGTGCGGCCAGCCTGTGTCACCATGGGGCGCCTGCCTGTCACTGCAGCAACCTGAGTCAGTCCAGCAGGGCGTCAGCGCAGAGAGTCACACCACTACCACAGGCTTCCCAGTCCCCAGACAGCAGGGGCAGCTCGGCCAAGGAGGTCCCTGAAGCTGCACTGGGCACTCCCCACACACTAACCAGCTGGTTCTCACGGACCCTGGGTGACACCAGGAATAAGCTGCCTGGTGACAGTGACAGTGACACTCCACTTCCACCTGCAACCCTCCCACCCGTTCCCTCCTCCCAGCTGCTCCCGTCCCTGGTCCCCTCTCAAGGTAGGGCTCCCATCGGCACGTGTCCCAGAGCACAATGGCCGGGTCACAGAGGACTCGCCACAAGTATCTGCGCAGCGAGTTACGGCAGCAGCCGGGCGTCACGGGTGGTGGGTCCCCACCTGACCACGGCCCCAGGACCTGGGAGCAGGACTGGCTCGGAATGTCCCAGGCAGGGCCATCCACAGGCCCATCTGCTGGCTTCCATCTGCCTCTTGACCCAAGTCCTGCTCGTCACCGCTGACCTCTTGGTGGTAAGAGACCCCTAGGAGACCTCAAGAGGCAGAAAATAGACTTTATTCCAAAAATATCTGTAAATACTGTTCTAAGGGAAAAGGCCAACAGTGACCAGCGCGGACATGGCCATGACTTCAGATCCTCGTCCACTGGCCCCCAGCCAGGCTGAGCCCCCCAAGCCTCCTCCAGCAAGTGGTGAGCGCGGCGGCAGGACAGGGCGGCGGGAGGGCAGGCCGCTCAGCGAGGAGCCCGCGGGGTCTTGGAGGCTGCTCACTGTCCTCGGGCTCAGCGTGGCGGCGGGCAGGTGGCTGTGTGCACGGGGTCATCCAGCACAAGTTTCACAGGAGCCCGCCTGGCTCACGACCTAACCGAGGCTCACCTGGGTCACTAGGACACACCCAGAGCCCCCTGGTCGCTGTGTCCTGGCAGGCCACCGCCTGAGACCAGACACATCCTGACGCTGAGCCTCCCTGGACAGCCGTCCTGGGCCAACCGGGCCCCGGAGCCCTGAACAGGTGGGTGTGCCAACAGTCGTCCCACACCCTGGCCAGGACCCCTCGGGAGCGTGGCCTACAGAGGGCAGTGGTTCTGTCCCTCCAACATCATTCAAGAGCCCTACCAGGCACTGTGTCCCCACCCTGCTGGGCTGCCTCCAACAGCCCTGGGAGGATCAGGCAGGAGGTCAGATGAACGACTTGGCCAGGGTCACCATGTGGTCCACACCACAGGCCATGTCCACGGGCTCACCGGGCATCGTCACCTGAAGAAACAAGAGCAAGACACCCTTCATTGCAGGCAGCGGCCGCAGGGCCACCAGCCTTGCCAACTTCTCGGGAGGCCACTCCCTCACTGCACCCTGCCCACAAGGGCGGCCATCGCAGCTCACGTCCACACCTGGGACACCTCTGGGGAAGCGAGACGTGTCCTGCACATGTGCATCCCAGAGGCCGCGGCCCTCAGGCCGGTGTCATGTCTGTCCTATCAGAGCAGCTCAAGAGGCCCTCGCTCCTACCCTGTGAGTCCAGTCTGGGGCAGCCCCACCGGCCACTCCACCCAGCGACCCCACTGCAGACACAGGCTGTCCTACTCACAGGTACCTTCAGGGTACACACGCAACACACGTGCACACATGCACACACGCACGCACACATGCACACACACATATGCACACACGCACACAGCTCTGCAGAGACTCCCAGAGGGAACGGGAGACACCAACACAGGCCACTGCACGGATGCGGGGTGGCCCAGGAGGCCGCCCTCCACAGCGTGGCTGTAGTGACTTTCGAGGACACCTCCTAAGCTGGCCGTGAGCCACAATGAGACAAGCTACAATTGAAAAAGGACTCCCACCCCTTAAGATTTGAAAACACCTCCTGCCTGCTGTGTCCCCACTACAGAGCCTGGATGCCCCCAGCAGCTGTGGACAGGCCGTTGACCCTCTTGGGCCACCTAGAGCGCACTCCCGGGGCCACAGGTGAGGACCTGCTCCAGGCCTGGTAGCACCCCTGCCCAGGACAGGCTCTGACAGAGATTCTTGCAGGGACAGGAACACCCGCAGGGCCACTCCCTCCAGCCGCGCCCTCACCAGGCCCCCACAGAGAGCTGACCTCAAGGGAGCCGAGGACAGCGAGCCCTGAAATCCGGGAACCTGGCCTGGCCCCAGCTACCCCTTCACTGCAGCAGGGGGGACAGCCCCCAGCCCAGCCGGGCCCCGCCCCAGGCCCAGCCCCTCTGCATGCTGGGCAGGCACCAGGCACCGGTGGCACCGAGGCTGCTCCCCGCATCCCCGCGTCCCCACCCGGCCTTACCCTCCAGGGGAAGTACTGGTCGTCCAGGCGGCCGATCCCCAGGCACCCACGGAGGTTCTTGCCCCACACGAACAGCTCGCCCTTGTCTGGGGGAAGAGGACAGCAGCTTGGCGGGAGCTGACAAAGAGCCCGTCCCAGGAGCCCGGCCTTGAGGACAGACCTTCTGCAATCAGGCACAGATGGCCTGTCCCCACCTCCTTCCCTCAGTGCTTCCTGGGAAGGGAGAAGCCAGTGTCTTAGGCACCTACCTCATCCTGCCGTCCGACCCCCGGGAGGTGAGTCTGAGGGGTACGTGGCCCTGCCCAGCCCTGCCGGGCCCTGGTGACCCTGCCACACACTCAGGCCACTCCTGGCTTCCTAAGCCACAGAGAGGCTGCTCTTTCTGAGTCCCCCGGGGCCTGCCTGAGCCAGGCCTGGGCCCATGTGCTGTGAGCTGGGGACAGGGCGGTGACAGGACACAGTGATGGGACCCGACCTAGATGAAGAGCTAGAACTAAACAGCCCAACCCACCCATGACCGCAACCACAGAGGCCACAAAGGACACGGACGCAGTCCACGGAAGGGACCCGTGTACTGCTCAAATACAGTCTGTCCCCCAAATCCATGTGGTGGACACCTGGTCCCCCAGGGTAATGGTGAGGACAGTGGAGAGGCCCGGAAGGAGCAGGCGGTCACCAGGGCCTGGCCTCATAAGGGGCTGGTGGAGCTCCCGCGAGGGCTGCCACAGTCGGGCTCAGGCCGTTCCCTGCGTGTGCCCCGCCAGGGTCTCAGGGACCCGCCTTCTGCCAAGCTCTGCATGGCACCGGGAGCCACCTGTCCTGCCCAGCACTCATGCTCACGGCCACTCTCAGGTCATGCTGCCACTGGGAGCAAAGAAAGGACAAAGGAAACTGCCCAGGCCTGGGGTCTTGTGGCTCGGGAGGCTGAGCAGGAAGAGCACAAGTCCAAGGCCAGCCTCAGCCACTTAGTAAGTCCGCAGCGACGTAGTGAGACCCCCTGCCTCTAAATAAAAACCCAAAGGACGGGGTGCAGCTCAGCATGAAGCACCCTGATGGTACCTCCCTGAGGAAAAGAGGCCTTTCCCAGGAGAGGACTGAACACAGGGGTCATCGACAAGTGAGCCGCCTGGTGCAGTCGTACTGCCCAGGGAAACCCACAACCGGGGCACCCAGAGGCCACGGGCCGTGCCAGCCGGGAGGCCCGTGGGACAACTCGTCTCCGACAGCTTGTCATCTGGCCAGGCCATCCTGTGATGGCCCCCAGCACTTTGGAGCAAGGAGCGCTCCACCTCCAGAAACCACAGGGGTCTCCAAACTGCCTCTGGCCACTGCGTGCCCGGGACCGAGCAGGGTCTTGGCCTGCGGGGGTGGCCCACCCACACTCTCCATGGACTCACCCACCTCTGTCAGGGCTTCTCGCACAGCCAACTGGTGCCCTCGAGAGTCACCCAAACATCAGCCTCACCACAAACCACAGAAACCGAGCCCAGTTCCAGGGGAGGAAGAGACGAGGTTGTTCACCCGCAAGCCACGGACGGCTGCTAGCTGTTCCCGGTCAGCCCACCCCGGTCAGCCCGTCCCAGTCAGCCCGTCCTGGTCAGCCCACCAAGGCACCATGGGTTCACAGAGGGAAGGGAGCATGCGGGGGAGCACCTGGGTCCTGCCAGCCGGCCACTTACTAGAAAGGGCAGCAAAGTGGCTGAGCCCACAGCGGATGAGGGAGACCTGGATGTCCGGGTTGAACTCGGTCAGGCCGAAGAGCGTGGGCGGGATCCTCTCCGGAAGGGCACTTTCCACGAGGCTGGGTCCTTTGCCAAGGATTCCGTAGCCCCAGACAAACACGTGTCCTTCCCCTGCGCACAGCAGGTCGGGGTCAGCAGGCCACCCAGCCGAGGCTCCCGCACACCCTGCTCACTATGCCCACAGGGACAGGGGTCGCCTCCCTGGTGGCAAGAAAAGGTTGAAAACACTCCTCCTGTCCTGGCTTCAGTTCCTGCCTCGGCGTCCGCCCAGCTGCTGGCCACCCTCGGAGCCCAGAGCCCACGTCATGCGGCAACCTGGGCGGGGGCAGCCCCTAAATGACCCAGGAAGCCCACATGGCCTCCTGAAGCTTGGAGACAGCTGTCCCTACTAAGGGACCCAGGTCCTCGCTGAGCAGACACATAACACAGACAGTTCCTGGCCAGACCCTTAAACTTTAAGGAAAAAACGTTTTCGTTGGTACCAGGAATCAAACCCAGGGGTGCGCCCCCACGGAGCCACGTCCCCTGAGATGGGCACTCTCCAGGTCCCCTGTGGTCTTGCAAAGTTGCTGAGGCTGCCTTGAGCCTGGGATGCTCCTGCTTCTGCCTGGATATGGTTTTCTGACACCACGTTCTTGATTTTCTCCCCGGACGCTGAGAACCGATGGCTCAGGCCAAGCAAGCGCCCCTCAGGCCTGCAGCTGGGGTGCAGCTCGGGGAGCGCACGGCACAAGCGAGGCCCCAGGTTCCAGCCCTGATACCCATGCCAAGGTTGGTGCTCCTCGGTGTGCCACACACTCACTCTCAGGGCACAGACCTCGGTGTGCGACACACTCACTCGCAGGGCACAGATCTCGGTGTGCCACACACTCGCATGGACCCGGTGTGCCACACGCTCACTCTCAGGGCACAGACCTTGTGTGCCACGTGCTCACTCGCAGGGCACGGACCCTGGTGTGCCACACACTCGCAGGGCAGGGAACTCAGTGTGCCACACACTCCTTTACAGGGCACACAGTGGTAGTGCCCACTCTGTATTTACTTCCTGGCTGGAGAGGGGATCTGGCCGGGCTGAGGGAACAGGGACCCTGCACCCTCGAGGTCTGCTGGAGTGACAGGCTGAGCTGCTCTCTGGCCACATGTGTCACGAAATTCACCAGGCTCGGTACAGCGGATTATCCAATGGCCACGTGAACCTGACAGCCTGGTGAACATGCCCACCAGTCCCCAATGACTACCCAAAGGGTCTCACCGTTCAATAAGGCACAGCCGGTGCCCCCGCAGGCCGCCTGCTTCACAGTCCCCACTCCTGAGAAGGGTAGGCACCGAGGGACGTTCACCTGCAGCGAGAAAGGGCTCCAAGTAGGACAGGCTACGTGGGGAGTGGGCCGTGGGCAGGGCCACATGAGCTCTCTGTCTACTCCAGGGCCATCTCCTGAGCACCGCACAGGCACGAAGCCGGGACCTAGGGACCTGGATGCACAGGGGCTACAGGACCAGCCCACCCTCAAAGAGCACTGGCTGGCCCAGGGGCAGCAGTCAAGGTCAACCTCAGACCTCACGAGCAAAACGCAAGGGGGATCCAGGGGTCTGAGTGGCAGAGCCGTGCAGGCGGGGGAGAGGCAGCCAGGGGGGGCGTCCGTGCCTGAGGCATGAGGAGAGGCAGGAACCAATCAGGCCAGGGTGAAGCGGGGAGCAGGGCGTCCACCTGAGGCAAGAGAGGACAGCCGGGCGTGAAGCCACTCGAGGAGCTCACAGGAGGCCAGAACAAAGGGCCCACGGCCGTGAGTGGCACGGGTGGCCGAGGAGAGGCACTCTGCACAGGCCGTCCTCTGGAGAGTGAACAGGCAGCGCTGGAGGAGCCCAGGGAGCCCTGGGGAGGCCAGGGAGAGTAGCACTCAGGAGCCCGGGGTCAGGGGCAGGTGAGCGGCAGAAAGACACTGAAGCCACAGGAGAGATCTTCTAGTGGAGATGCAGAGGCCAGGAGGGGCGCCCACACCTCGCACGAGGACAGCCAGGAAGGAGTGCGTCCCAGCAGCGCCATGGCCAAGGTCAGAGATGAGGCGGGAAAAGGCTGTCCAGTGCCCTCCTAGTGCCTCTGGCCCCAGGGAGGTCGCTGGTGGCCCTCACGGGAGCCATGGACAAGCTGACAGGCAGAGGCAGACTATAATGGACTGGGTCGAGAACTTGGGGACAAGGTTGAGAACTCGGGGACAAAGACGTGGGGACAGGATGCAAGCATGGCTGAGAGGCCCCCTGGGAAGGGCAGGCCAGAGGGAAGGAGGGAGGGAGGGAGGACAGGCACAGAGTGGACAGGATCCAGCAGGTGCACTGAGGTCGAGGGGAGCCAGCCCCAGGGCAGCCCCTCGGGGGCCGTGACAAATAAGTTGTCTCAGCCACTTGTAAGGCGGCTTGGTGACCAGGTCTCCTGCTGTTCCAGCCCCTGAGGACCCCTTCCCTGAGTGAGGCCACCCAGTACAGGGAGCGGCACTTCCAAGAGGAAGTCACAGGACACCGCCTGGTCAGCACCCTCCTGACAAGGCCAGCTCCACAGTGAGCCACCCCAGAGCAGCCCGAGAGGAGGGACGGAGGCAGCCAGGCACTGGATCTTGCCGGGCCAAGAGCCAGCACAGCGCTGGGCTCCGTCCAGCAGGGCCCTGCCTCCCCCCGGCACAGCAAGGAGGCCAGCAGCAGAGCCCAGGGCAACACAGCCCTGGACAGTCAGGGACGCAGCTGGCCACCTGGCACCCAGCCACGGTCCCTTGTGTTGCTTAGTTCTCTGATTCGGGGTCAGTGTCAGATAATCATGGCCAACGGTGGCTCATGCAACTGTCCCCACAGGAGGTCGGCATAGGGAGGAGCAGCACTCCCTCGAGCCCCTGCCCGCCGTCCACCTCCCACAGATAATGCGCCTCTAAACGACTGGCCTCCTCCCCTGTTGGGTGCCGGGGCACTCAGAGTCCACAGCAGCCTCTGCTGGCCACCAGGCGGGACGCTGAGGAGGCAGCCCCCCATCGGCTGACCTCTGCATGGCCTCACTCAGGTCTGTTACAGCCTCTGCAGCCAGGCGCGGTGGTCACCCTGTCACCCAGCACTCAGAAGGCTGAGGTGGGAGAGTCACCAGTTCCAAGGAAGCCTCGGCACTCAGCGGGACCCCGTGGCAAAATGGAAAGTGACAAAGGCTGGGATGCGGCTCCACGGGTGGCGCCCCCAGGTTCCATCCCCAGGACCATGAAAAATAAGTGAAAGTAAACAAAACCCTGAGTGTCACCAACAATTCCATCGCATCAGGGAACGCGGTGTCTCTGGAAGACACACACTGACCCCCCGGGAATGAGCAGGTACCTAGGTCCCCCTCAGAGCATATCCCAGGGCGGGGACGCGGAAACTGGGGTGGGGCCCCTCCTGTCCTGAACCAGACTCGGGTGGCGCAGCCTGTGAACACCCACCACCCGCACGTGCTCTACAGGTGGGCGTGGCATGCACATCACCCTCCCCAGAATGGCCATTGGCTGGTGATGGCCGCACAGGCACGAGGTGGAAAGACCAGGCCAGCCTCCACCTTCTGCTCCATGGACAGTCTCCCCCAAGACCCTGCATCTGCGGCTTGCGGCCCCCTTCACAGGGCGGGGTTGGGGGCCGGGACAGAGCCCCAGAGATGCTGCTGGCCTGGTGGGCCACGCAGTCTTAGCTCAGGGTCTGTGTCATGCTACTGCCACAGCACACAGGACATCACAGAGACTCCGCAGCCTGCTTCAGACCCTCTGGGAAGGGGGACCTGAAGCCCTGACAGCACCCCTGGCCTCCAATCCCACTCCCCAGGCCCCCGCAGGCCCCAGAGCCCACTCCCCAGGCCCCTGCAAGCCCCAGAGCCCGCTCCCCAGGCCCCCGCAGGCCCGCGTTCCCCACCTCCCCACACGCACCTGAGTGGACTCGGTGACAGAGGCCAGCTGCAGGTACTCCGAGTTCCCCCAACCAAAGAGGCCTCCGTCTGCTGACACGGCCAGGCAGCAGTCCCCGTAGGTGGCGACCTGCACGACCTTCACTCCGGCAAGGTCCCCTCCCAGCTTGGTGGGCACGCTGGTGACATCGTAGTGACCGAGACCTGGCAGGGGAAATGCGCACCTTCAGTTACTCGCCCTTCCCGCAGGCTCGCGCCACGCCAAGCACAATGCTGGCCCCAACAGCACCCGCACAGAAAGCCTGGCCTGCCCTGCTGGCCGCACCCCTGCTCCCACGAGGGAGGACTCGTCACACACAGCTAGTCTTCTTTTTTTAATTTCTTTTTAATATTTTTCAGTTGATGGAACTTTATTTTATTTGCTTATCTATATGAAGTGCTGGGAATGGAACCTGGTGCCTCACACGTAGGAGGCCAGCACTCTACCACTGAGCCACAACCCCAGCCCCACAAATGGCATATTCTTAAGACCCAAAAGGCATGTTTTTAGGGACCCTGGAATTTTTTAGGTCAGAATCAAGTTAGAAACTTTGTAAGATAAGCACGGGGCAAGTGGCCCATGCCTGTGATCCCAGCGACTCAGGGGGCTGAGGCAGGAGGATGGGGAGTCGGAGCCAGCCGACTTAGGGAAGCCCTAAGCAACTCAGCAAGACCCTGTCTCTAATAAGACGTAAAGAAAAGAAAAAGGGCTCGGTGGTTCGGTGGCCCTGGGTTCAATGCCTGGTGCCCCAGATACACACACAGATATACGTAAGAGCAGAGGCTGAAATTGGCCCGTGGTAAAGGACCCTGGGTTAGATCCTAGTAAAGCAAAAACATGAAAAAGGAAATTTAGAAAAATTAACATTACTAAACACCTAAGGAAGGGAGCCTCCACACACAAGTCGGGGCCACAGGAGCAAGTCGCCCTGCAGGGCAAGAGCAGGACCAACAGTGGGGGTCAGGCTGCATGTCCATGGTCATAGGCAGCGGAAAGGGGGTCACAGGCAAGTGCAGAGGACAGCACTCCCCAGGAGCAAGGGAGATGGGGCCCAGTGGGAGGCGGTCCTGGCCCCCAGGGCCACACCACGGCCTCTCATCACGCACCTGTCTGCCCATCGGCGCCCCATCCACAGGAGTAGACCTCGCCTCGATCCGTGAGGAACAGGCTGTGATCCTGTCCGCAGACCACCTGGAGGACACCAGTGGGCAGAGGAGACCCTCTCTCAGGGAGTTCCCAGGCCTGCTCTCCCCTCCTCGCAGCCAGAGCAGCAGCTCCTGAGGCCAGGAGGGGGCCAGGAGGGGGGGGGGCAGGGAGGGGATGAGGGAGGGGGCGAGGGGGGACAGGGAGAGGGGCCAGGGAGGGGGCCAGGGAGGGAGGGCCCACCCTCACCCTACCCCTGCGCCCCCCTAACCACCACCACGCCCCACCCTGGCCAGCTCCAGCTCAGCCTCAGCCTCAGCCCCAGTCCCCTTCGTCCCTTTCACCGCTGGAGCCCGAGTCTGTCCTGGGCCTCCTGCCTCTCCCTCTCCCCACACCTGGCTGCTCTATTCCCAAGGCCCACTGCCACCCCACGCTGGTCTCCAGACCTGGTCTCTAACTGCCTCAGGAGAAGCAGGCCACAGCAGGACCACCCAGGACAGACTCAGGAGGTCTGGTGACACCCGAAGCCACTCATCCATGGGTGGAGGATGGGGACTTGAGCCCACAGGCACCTGGGGCTGCGCAGGAGGCTCTGCCTCTCCCATGACCCCTGACCAAGCCCCCACGTCCCCCATTCTGCTGGCCAGTCACTCTGGATCCCAGGGTGCCCTCCCTGCTCCTCTCCTGACCCCGAAGCCTGGCTGCCCTGGGAGTCTATGACCCCACCCTCCCAGACTCCCCTCCTGGCCTCCACGCCTCTCCCCTCTACTTCCCACCAGGGCTAAGTCGTCTTTCTGGAAGGTCACAACTCGGCAGCCACCTCCCCTGGAACACATTCCTTTGGAGATGCTGGACATGGACCTGGGCCTGGCACACACCACGCACCCCTGCCCTGCTGAAAACCTTACAGCCCACTGCCCAAGGACAAGGCCCTCAGGGCTCCACTCCCCACCAGTGCCCAGACCGTGCGTCATCCACTCCCGCCTGCCCTCCTGACCGCTGCAGAGCACACTACCGCGAGCACAGCAATGACCACCAGCCACACCCCAGGCCTGCTTGGGCCTCCAGGATGCCCCTCCCCTCCTGCTGGGCAGCACCCCAGCCTCAGCAGGAATACCCGAGGCTAAGTGTTTATCCTAAGTGGCCATCGGGTGCCTGGGTACCACCCCACAGGCCCCCACTCCAGGTGGACGCAGCTGGGCAGGCAGCCTGGTCTCCAAGGGAGCCTCACCCCCGCCCCAACTCTTCTAGACCCCCCTTCCAGGGTTCAGAAGGAACCTGGTCTCCAGCGCGGGCCAGGAGTCCTGACCAGAGTAACCTGACCCTTCAGGAAGTTCCCCTAACCGCCTGCCAGCACCCCGCCCAGTGTCGATCCTTCCAAAGCATCCGGGGACAGGAGGAGCCCGTCTCTTACCTGGACCACCTGCCCATCAAAGTCCTGCATCCTGTGGATCTTGTGACTTTCACTAGAGCCAAGAAGAGGAGACGTGGCCATCAGCCCTGCACAAGCCGGGCCCTTAACCCTAGCCGGTAGCCCAACCCCATGTGCACAGGGCCACCTCAGAGTACAGCAGGCCTGGGGGGACAACCCACACAGTGAAACTCAAGGCGTCTCTTCCTCCCCGCGGTACTGGGGACTGACCCAGGGGCACTCTGCCACTGAGCCCCTTCATTTAGTTATTTATTCGGAAACCAGGTATCGCTAGGTCGCCAAGGCTGGCCTCCAGCTTGCGCTCCTCCTGCCTCAGCCTCCCACACAGCTGGGGTTACAGGCGTGGCCACCGCACCAGCTTGATGTGAGGTTTTTTAAATATTCTTAGTTGTTGGACAATAATTTAATTTTACTTATTTTTTTATGTGGTGCTGAGGATCAAACCCAATGCCTCACCTGTGCTGGACAACGCTCTGCCCCTGAGTCACAGCCCAGACCTCGACATGACTTTTGTATGAGGACAGAGACTAGCACTCAGGCCACCAGCATCAAGCAAGGAACTAGTGGAATTTTTTCTTTTTTAATACAAAATGAAAAAACTGAAATGAAGGTGAACTTTTTAAGTTAACCAATTTGAAAACGTGGTTAACTTAAATAATTCCCCTTCATTTAAAGTAAAAAGGTTATAAAAATTAATTCAGCCGGGCGCAGTGGTGCACGCCTGTGATCCTAGAGGCTCGGGAGGCTGAGGCAGGAGAATCAGGAGTTCAAATCCAGCCTCAGCAACTTAGCCAGGTGCTGAGCAACTCCGTGAGACCCTGTCTCTAATAAAATTCAAAACAGGGCTGGGGATGGGGCTCAGTGGTCAGTGCCCCTGAGTTCAATCCCCGGTACTCCCCAAAAAATTAGTTCAAAGGTTTGTACACATGACGACCAAGGCTCACCCCTCACCCCCAAGCTCATGTCTGAGCCCACCCCCAGCAGAACCGCCCCAGGGATTCCCCCAGGGGTACGGAGCCCCGGCTCTCACCCTGCGGCCACTCAGGTCTGGGGGCAGAGCTCGGCACGCACCTGTACACTTCATTCTCCACGACCTTCCGGCCACACTGCCCATACGAGTTGTTCCCCATGCTGAACACTGGAAGGGACACAGCCGACCCAGTCCACAATCCACCGCGCAGGCTCATGGGATCCCAGCAGACCAGGGCCACCAGGGTCTCCGGAGCCGTCCCCCACAGCTGCCCATCCCGACTGCCACGGGGCTCCCTCCTGCAACACCCGCCTCCAGGGACACCTCAGGCCTTCTGGGTCCCCGTGCCCTGGTCCCACCTCCTGGGAATTCCACAGTGTGGGCAAGTCCCCGTCCCTGTGCCTGTGGCCAGGCTGCACGGACACCAAAGGCCCTGGTGAGGGCCTCCTGAGGCCACTTCTGCCTTCCCCCATCAGGCACCTTGGCCAGGAGGAGAAGCGGGAACAAAGCGGCTTTGCTGCCTCTCCCTGGACACAAGCCCTCTGCAGAGGGACCTCAGGCACAAGGACCTCGGCCTGAGAGGCCACACTAGGGGAGGTGCGAGCAAACAGACCCTTTGTGTGCACACAGCCCAGTGCAGAGACCTCCCGAGGAGTCAGCAAGCCCACCAATGGCCCTCCCGCAGGGAGGGCACTCACCTCCCTCGCTGTCCGTCAGGACCAGGGAGTGCGCCCTGCCACAGGACACCTGCAGCACCCGGGTCTCCTGAGGCCTGTCCAGGGGCAGCGGGACGGGCGACGGCTCCAGGACGTACTCGTAGCCCCTGGCTGCAGAGGACCGCAGGTCAGAGCGAGGCAGCGGCCAAGGCCACCTCCGGCAGCAGGAACCGCCATCCACCCCGTTCCCCACAGAGTCAGGGGGGAAGCTCCCGGTGCCCGTCGGGGCCAGGAACCCAGTGGTCACTGAACCGCACACTGGGCCTCCTTGGGAATCTCCTGGGGCTCCAGAGGCTGCGGCCGGTCTGGACAAGTCAGTGATCCGCTAAGGGAAACTCAGGGAGGGGAGGCTCAGGGTGGCACCTGCTCTGCATGCGCCAGGCCTGGGGTCCCCCCAGCGCCGCTCAAGGCCTAGTGGGCCAGAAACATGGAGGGCGGCCTCTCAGGGCCAATGAGGCCCGACCCTGACGCCAGGCTTCTCTGATACAGAGCCTAAAACAGGCCAAGACAAAACAAGTGCGCTCTGACCCAGGCAGAAACAGACTGCAGGTGGACGGGGACACGGGAGGCAGCCTGCTGTGTAGGTGGACAGGGACTCGGGACGTGGGAGGCCTGCCCGCTGGCGTCGGGCTGATGGCTCCTGTCTTAAGAGTAAAACTGCTCTGTAGTGGCACCTCAGCTCACAGCCACCTTGGTTCCTGTGGCTCTCGTGACAAGGCCTGCTTCCTAAACGTCCTCGTCGGCCGTTCCTGACCCTTTACATCTGAAGCCCCAAACGCAGGGACAAGCCCGGGGTCTGGAGGGCCCACTGGTCTCCTCCCAGGCCACGTCCAGGCACGGGCACCCGGGGCCAAGCGGGAGCAGCCACTGCCCACCCCGGTGCCCACCCTGCTGCCGAGGGTCCCCGCTGCTGCTGACCAGGGTGAGCTCCAGCTGGCCGGGGTCACGAGCCAGCCTCTCAGTCCCACTCCGGCCGGAGGTGCCCACGCCAGCGCAGGCTCCTGCGGCCCCGCACCTTTGTCCCTCCGGCTCCTCTGAAACCCGAGCTGGGAGTCCTTGTTGAGCCCCATGCCCCACACCTTGGTGATGTCCTTGGTCCTGGAGGACAGCAGTGTGAATCCATAGCCACAGGCCGCAGAGGAGATCTGAAAGAAGCCCCGAGCGCAGAGTGGTGACACACCCATGTGACCAGCAGTGCACCTCGTTCACCCCCGAGTCACCCACAAACCAGGACTCTCATCCCACCCAAGGCCATTAGGGGCCTCGGCCTGCTCTCGGCCCAGCCTGCCATCTGTGTGGCCGGAGGGACACTGCCTCTCCAGGGACTCCGGAAGCAGGCGTCCGCTGGGTGGCCCTGAAGACAGGTGCCACGGCAACTGGGGTCCCGCAGCGACAGCACCTCCTCAACCATGGGGCACGCGGGTGACCCAGGCCCTTGGGGTTAGGCCCCTGGAGGTGCCCCTCGCCCCAGGCTGTGCTGCGACCCCAGATGAGCAGAGGGGAGGCTGCCCCAGGGTGTCACAGGGACAGAGAAGACAAGATCCAAACAAATGGGAGACAGTCCCGCCCACTGAGGGGAGGAGCACAACAGTTTCCATGGCAACTCTGCACACTGAACCCCCTCAAGCCCCAGTGAGAAGGCTGTGGAGGGATGTGGCCCAGGGTCGAGTGTCCGGGTCCCATCCCCAGCACAGCAAGACACACAGGGCTGGCTGGAGCCCCGGGTCAGCACCTGCCCAGCAGGCACGAGGCCCAGTTCAACCCCAAGCACCATAAAAATACCTAAGAACCCCAGAAGGGATTTTTGCAGAAATGGACAAGCCAAGCCTAAAATTCAAAGGACCCAGAGGAGGCAGACCATTGTTTAAAAAGGACAAGAACCAGGCACGGTGGCACATGCTATAACCTCAGCTACTCGGGGGCTGAGGCAGGAGGATCACAAGTCCAAGGCCAGCCTCAGGAGCCTAGTGAGAACCTGCCTCAGAAGGGCAGAGGGTACAAGTCAGTGGTAGGGTGGCCCTAAGCTCCGTCCTGTCCCCCACACACGGGGAGGACAGGGCTGGGCAGAGCTCCCACCTCCAAAGAGTCTGAGGGCGGCCTCCTGACTGCAAAGCTCACCACAAGCCATAGCCATCCAGACAGTGACCAAGACGGGTCATTCTGACGTGAGGGTGGACACAGCTTCATGAAGACAGCTGGGAGTCCAGAAGTCGATCCTTGCCTTTAGGTCACCCCATGTCCCACCAAGGGAAGGGCAGGTATGGTTGCTTGGACAACAGACCTCGGACCCTGCCTCACCCCACAGGCCCAAACCAGCTCACAGGGGCTCAGAGACTTAAATACAAGAGCCAAAGCCACCCAGTGAACAAGGGTGCAAACTTGGGTCTGGCAGATCCCTTGGATGAGCCACTAAAGCACAACCTACAGCAGAAAAACGGGTTGAGGAAATTCATCAAGATGGAAAACATCGCTCCTCAAGACACTGCCCAGAAAACAAGCGCTACCTAGGAGAAGCCAGGAGAACCCTGCGGTAACGTGCCCAGGGCCCAGGACTGGGGACTCAACACGGCCAATCCGCCAGGGGGTCAAGTGGGGAGGCTGAGGCAGGAGGACTGCAGGTTCCAGCCAGTCCGAGCTTGGCTCAGCTCCCATCCCCAGCCCCTTGCTTTTCACCGGGTTGGAACAGAAGTCTCCCTTTCTCTGTCCCCCGTTTCTGGTCCAGAGATCACTGGCGGACTTGGCAGAGAAGTCAGAAGCCCAACTGGACAAGGTGCCTCCTTTTCATGGCCTACCAGGGCCTCCACAGCCACACAGACAGTCCCAACCTCATGTCAGCTTCAGGGTCCTCTGGCTGCCACCCCTCCAAATCTAGGACCTGCCTCCTTCCCAGGTCAGTCATTCCACCGTCCCGCTGGGCTCGCTCCTTCTTAATGCCTTGTCCCTAAGGAGTCCCCAGCCTGCCCCCAGCAATCCGTGCTGCAGGCCTCCCAGTCCTCCCCGACCTCCCTCTCCCCTCCTTCCTCCCTCCCCGGCCTCCTCCCTTCCTCACTCCTTCTCCCCCGACTCCCCCTCCGGTCCTTCCTCCCTCCCCAGCCTCCCTTTTCCTCCTCCTCCCCGGCCCCCCCCCTCCAGTTCTTCCTCCCTCCCCAGTCTCCC